GGGAAGATGGATTTCCATCCATGTTGGCAGGAAGTGCACTGTATCCCTCATAGAGATCCTCATCCCTACTGAAGGATTAGCCTCCTGCATCTCTACCAGTGTGTTATGTAATATATATCTCCAAGTGAGAGGTGATTCTGCAGAAAAGTCATGTTACTCAACTTTGGTCTGATCTGTCCCATTGTGCCTCTGGCTTGGCTTAGGAGAAAGCCTCTTCCCCAACCGGAGCAGTCTTCCCCTGTACTAGCCCTTTGGTCCTTCAGCTACAGCAATAGAAGATGCTTACTGTTGGCTCCCATGCCATCTGGAATGGTGGTGGGGGTTAGGGCGTTGCGCTGCTGGGGATTGATCAGCTGGCTCACAGAAGGCAGCTTGTTCATGCTGTTCATTTTGTTCAGAGGTGGGGAGCTGTTACCATATGAAGTCTGAGACTGCATCGAGGTCCTAGGAACACAAACATGGGAACCATGGTCAGCATGGGACTGGTCATTTCCAACAGGTCTTAGATTAAAACATGGCCGCAAACCATATGCTTGAAAATTGTTCTTCCAAGACTGATGATAAGAAGTTATTTGTGTTTCCAGAAGAGAATATTTCCAAGACAAGGGAAGGAATGCAAAGCTCCCACCAAATTATGTTTTCCCTGAATGTGGAGGGTATAAAGTGTAATATCTTTATGAAGTATCTCCTTTGTGAGAGGGAAAATAACAGCATCCTCCTTTTGTCCTTAGTATTTCCTCCATTCTCCTTCTCTATCTGTCTTCAACTCAAACAAGTTTGAAAAACAGTAAGGGAAAAGAATTCAGAAAAGACACAAAGGCTGATGAAAGACATGGAGATGCAAAGCTCAGATTGTAGCTCAGGCACTTCATCTGTAGCTTTGTAGGCCTATTGGGATATACAGAATATAACTGCAAAGCCAATCAAATAGGACATTTGGAAGCACATCCTACCAGCATACCCAGGCCCCAGGTTGGAAGCATGCTTTCTCAGCCGAGAGGTTCATGGGCCATGTGAGAACCTGCTGCAATGCCAACAGCCTTTCTATGCAAGAGGTATAGAATGAGGATCAGATAATCCAAATTTTAGCTCCCTTCAGATACATTAGGAAGCTATAGTCCCTATGCAAGCTACTAATTAACAACCTAGACTTTGTTTCTTTAACAGAAAACTATAAACTACAATCACATGTGTGTACCCATGCTAACATCTAATGTCTGCATTAGATGTTAAAGCTTGGAAAGCTAAAGAGAAACAGGCTTCATTTCTGAGATGCTCATAAAATAGCAGTTACATGGGGAAAATAATCCATCCTACCATGGAGGGCTATGAAAAGAACTGAAAAAGAATAGAAAAACAGTTATTTAGATCACAGCATTTATAGCAAGTAATTATTTTGACTATACAACAAAGTTTGACTTAAAGCATATTTCTAACCTGTAGTTGGAAAAATTCCCCTTTAACATTCCTCAAACAATATGTATTATTTGGTTCCTATCTTCCTCCTTCTTGCATTAGCCATATTTATATTAAAGGACAAATTTTTAAAAATGTCTCTGAGGTATATTGCATAAATACGTGATACAAAATTTAGAGGCTTTGTAAATGAAACCAGGTTTCAAACAAGCAGAGCACAATGTTTGAAAAAAAATTTTAAAAAATGTCTCTAAGCACTTCAGTGTAATAGGGGGGTGGTAGTCTTTGAAAATCCCATCATGTGTCCTCTACAATTACAAGAAAGCCCCCATTCCCTATTGCTGAAGAGCCACAGCCAGGGTAATGTAAACAATATGTTATACATTCATTTGCATTAAATTAGCATTCTCATGAAAAATTAACAAATCCACTACATTTTACAATCACTGACTTTAAGGTAGGAAGACACTAATTTTTTTTTCTTTAGCTCTTCTCTTGTACCCACAATTATAGGTCCAAATTGTATAAACAGGTCTTGATGTAATAAGTCCTCTTAATTCATACTACTTCAGATTGCTCTCTTTCATACACGTTCTCAATGACTATGACAACATTCCTGTGGATACACGTCACATATGGCGGGCAGGGATGGGCAGAAATGATTATTACTTTTTAACAGAGAAAAGCAAGTGTGAGTATTTAAGAGGAAAAAAAAATGTGGCAAGGTTGCACATTGCTGAATGGATGGGTTACAGGTAAAGTAGGTCTCCTGGAGTCTTGTTCAAGAGCTTTTGTTTGTTTTCATTCTATGACACCTCCCTGAGAAGTATGGGCAATAGGTTACAGGATCAAGAAATGGGTTAAGTGGTAAGAGAAATGTGGGAGACTAACATAGACAGGGACCAAAGCAGGTTACTACAACAGAGCCACTCCAACTGCCACCAAGTACTTCCTAATCCACTCCATGCCTGTGCAGGAGCCTGGCAGAAGAACCAGCACATTTAAACCTATGCAGGAACTTCTGTAAGTCCACACTAAAGTATAGAAAAGCACAGGGCAGGGAAGTGAAGAGAACTTTTGCCAGTTGCTTCTTCACTGTCTTTGCTCACTATAAAGTACCTAAGATGTTAGGTGACCCATTTTCCCAGATGCAGGTTGGCCCTCTCTAACCAAAAGAGACCTCCTTCTGTCTCCCCTTCTCCAAAACATCCAAGAACTTATGTACAACAAGAACTTACAGAAACCTTGTTTGAACCACAATTAGGAAAATAAAAGTATATTTATAAGATTTGCATTCACCCTGTAGTAAATGCCACTTTCTACATCCTGTTACAAATCCCTCTCCCTTGTTTTAATTATTTTTTAGTATTTTATTAGTTCATTTGTGATTTACTGTCATAATATACTTAATTTGACAAAGGTAGATCAGAAACCACAGGTGAAAAAGAAGGAAGGTGGATTTTGGAGTCTGTCGAAATATCTAGGTCACCTGGATCTGACACAGGTGAATTGACTTTGGAGGTTACACAAGTGTCTCCCAAGTTGCATTTTCTTAATCTTTAGAAGAGGCACGAGACTCACTCTGGAAGGTTTATTATTAAGATTGAAGGAGGTCAGGTAAGGTGTGCAGTGATTTGTTGGCACTGAAGGAACACTGGTTCTTTTCACTCTAAGAAGTGAAAAGTCACTTTAACCCTAAATGGTGAACCCTGTAATAATGGAAGGGAACAATTTAGGAATTAATAGAACTGGCCAGAGGTCACAGAGAATTTTTTCATTGAACAAATTCAGAAATCAGGGTGAGCAAATGATTGAGGGAAATTCTGAATGCATTCCCTATAATGTACAAGTGAGCTTTAAAACCACAGACCATCAGGATAATCTGTTTATTAACAAACTCACAGTGTCTGAAATAGAAGGATCTCGTTAATAACCACTGCATACTCAGGAAAAAGGAGCGAGTCTGAATAAATTCATGGTTAATTTACAGGGCATGAAAGAACAACCATATTTTTTCCACTATAAATATGATGTCATGGTCCTTGTCAAATAGTCCCCCAAATTTCTGGAAAAATTAAAGAGAAAGAAAAGCATTTGAGAAAATAGGACCTGTGCAGTGTTAGTTTTCTCACGTCTACTTCACTGTGTTCCCATCATTCCAACCAAAAGCAAAAAATAAAATAAAGTGAGAAAAAATAACATGTCAGAAAAAATAACATGGTTTAGGCCTGACATTGTTTTCTCTGGGATCTCACTAAATATTTCTAAGAACTCAGTGTTATGGAGATATTGAAAGTTATATCTCATATATGTCTAGTTTTGAGGAAAAATCCTAGTGAAGCCTCACCCCAGTTCTTTACTCTAACAAAATCAGCTTCTGTGCTAAGAATAAAATTCAGAATTTCAGAACTTTTGGTTTTCCATCACTCAGGACTATATTTCCTCATTCCAACTCTAGTGATTGTCTATGTGGTGAATGTCAAAACTCCTGATAAGCCACAGCTACATTTTTTTTTAACTTTCAAAAGAAGCCGAGAATTATACAAGATTTTTTTCTTTTGACTTTCCATTACTAATGGGAAAAAAAAAAAAGCGTCTCAGTAGAACAGTTTGATGATACCTTGGGGAAAATCTATTTTTTTCTAAACTATTTCTTATAATATGAGAAGGGAGGGAAATAACAAATGTTGAGAAGAATACCCCATATAATTTGAGGAAGATATGGGGGAGATATGCCCTCAGAAAAGGAATGGGAACTCTCTACATTTGCCCCAGTATTGTCCTGCCGGTGACCCCTCTAACCCAGCAATCCCTCTTGTACAGACAAGTGCAAAATTGATTCCCTAGCTGGTCAACGTTTCTTTCAAATATGTTTCATGGTTTTAAACATGTGCATTTATATAAAATTGACTAAAAACATATCAAAAACTTACATAAAATTAAAAGAAAAAGCAAACGTTAAAAAAAAGGCAAACATACTTACCAATCTTTTAAGGGATTTGTGAATTGAAGTTATAAGACAAACTGAAAACTCTTTGCAAATGTAACATCTGCTTTTAGTAACATACTTTTATCTCAAACATAAAGCTATAATTTCTCAAGAATTTATCTAATCTACTAGATTAGTTTCATTTAGAACAACTTCTTTTGTAGTTTTAAAAGCAATTACTCAAAGCAAAGACAATAGGTCCTACAACAGATTTCTGGCCAAATATTTGCTAATGCTTATGTCACGCTGGGTCTTAATTTAAATTCATTTTAGAAAATTTGCCAATGGAAGACAATTTGAGGCTTGTTCAGAGATGTCAATAAACAATACTGTGGACCCACCAGAATGAAATTAAACACTTAGAGGACCAAAATATTTTTAAGCTACTTTAGACATTGTAATTAATTTTTCAGGTTGATGACTTTAATACAGAGTACCTTAAGTAAAAATACTAAATACATATGCAAGAATTATAGACAGGACCAAAGTGATGGTTCTATTACACTCATTCTTTGGCCCTAACTCATGGTACTTCAAGCTTTTATGTATTCTAGTATTTAAGGGAAAAAAAGTCAAGAGAGACAGAAACAAAAACTGCAAGATAAACCAAGATGCAAAAGTTTATTGAAAATTAAAATCACACATCCATAAAGCAACAACCTCAATAACAAGAAATCATTGTCTTGGTGACAGATTGAAGTGCTAGTGACCTGTGGGAAGATGGGGGAGGGTGGGTAAAGCCTTTACACTATATCTTAATATGGAAAGAAACAGATTCTCAACTCTTTGAGTCAGAAAACAAATAATGAAAGCAAAAAAAAATCATCTATTTTTTTCTCTGTAACTTGTAGACCAGAAATATTGATTTTAACATGTCTGCTTGGACATCTGTTAAACAAAACATCTCTCTCCTGGATAAATGACACTGAGCATAGTCAGTACCCTGGCTGATTTTATAGTGGGTAGGATTGAGAACCAGGAGCCCCAGTTAAATAAATGAATCTTAGATTTGGTAAGAGGAATCTGAATTCCATTTTGGACATTGCATAATGGTAAACAAGTACTTGGGGCAATATTTCTGGGTGGCTTTACCTTCCTATTAAAACCAACCACAAAGCTAGTTTACCTGCCATGGGTCTAAACAACAATTCAGGGGTTAAGTCTTTAGGGTTTCGTGTGCAAACAACACTATCGTATCAGATGGTGACCTACGGTGCAGAGAAAACTCTGACAGAACACTGAGGAACTTTCTACCTGTACATGAGGAGAGGATACTAAAAATGCAAGTTCTCAAAAAGAGGAAAAGAGCACCCACCTTGCCCTCAACGTAGGCTACTTAAGGTGATCATCACCTCTCTGCCCAGCAGTGCACGTGGTGCCCTAAATTGTTACTATTTGCAATATAACTGCATGACCAGCATTAAAAGGGCCTGACTGAGTCCCTCAGCCGCCAATGCATTACCTATGTACAGACAATAACAATTTTTGTCTCCTTTTCTTAAAAAGACATCTTAAGTTTGAGACCTGCTCAAAAGCTTCATTATGAGTTTGAGAAACACAAGGGAAGGGAAAAGAAAAGGGTTCCAATAAACATCCTAATGGCCCCTCTTCGGCTTAACCCCTCCCTCCCAGGAAACAACAGAAATCTCACGGACATACACAGTGGTTCCTGTCTGACCAATGTCAGATCTAAGGATACAAAATCTGTAGAAAGCGTCCTTTCTTTAAAGTTTTGAGTCCCTTCAAAAGATTTTCTCACTAGTGGCTGTGTGCCTTTGAGCAGTTGGGTCTCTAAGCCAAAGTGTCTTCAAGTTCTGTTTTCAAAGGCTGGATACAAACACATATACACACATGGAAACCCAACAAACACACAATTGAAATACAGAGACACAGCTCTATGGGTACACTGATCGGTTTTGGGGGTTGGAATGTCTAAAGAAGACGTCAGATTGTTTCGGAGTTTCTCTCCGGGGCTCCACAAGTTCATTCCTGAGGCAGGCTGAAAGGAGACTGCAGAGAGGAACCAGAGAAAAGAAAAGATGAAGGCTTAAAACTTCACATATCCAAATCCAATGAATGCAGAAACACTCTCCTCACACCTTCATGATCATAGTACAGACAGGATAGAATGCCTGCAAAGGGATTTTTGTTCCTTCCTAATTTTCCTCCTTTATATTATCCAGAAATTTCTCCTTTTCAAGAATTTTATGAAGAAGAAATGAGGTAGGGCTGTAGTAGGTAGCCATGCGTATATGTCTGAATCATCTGTGGAACTTATTAAAAAAAAAAACTGCATTTCTCAGATCATTTCTGAGACCAAGTTGGGATCCAGGCATATGTATTTTTAACGGGTTCCAAAAGCGGATTCATTTGAGAGTTCTGGATACAGGGTAGGTCACAGTGCTTCATACAATGCTTGGCATAAGGGTTACTGGACTCAACTAATTGAAAAAGGGAGTGCAGAAACAAGAATAAACTTTAAGCTTTCACAAAATGTCATCTGCCCAATTATTATACTTCATTACTGTTCATGTCTAGCCAAACGATGAAGTATGAAGAAATGTGATCTTATCTCAGTATGGGGGTTGTGTCGTCATCCGTTTGTGAACTATTAATGAGAATTTTGTATGGTGCCCAGATTGAGATGGATAAATACCTTAATCCTTTCAGTCACAAACTTGGCCTATAAATGCGTATATCAAATTCATGACAGCAACTTTTGCATAATTAAGAAATCAATTGTGCCACAAGGATGCCAGGAACAAGGTCTTTTATTTTGCTAAAGGTTGTGCAACTCCATGAACTGTTCGGGAACTATTTCCCAGACTGGCTTTTTGAATCTACTGTTTACTCCTTTCAGAGGAACAAAGCCATTTTTACTTAGTTAGCACTGAGAACTAGTAAACCATCAAAACCCGGTACTATCTCAACAAAATCTGCCAAAATACAAATTGGTGTGGAAGCAACTTATTGCCAACTAAAGAACCAGAGCTCTGACTCCTTGTTTGGATATTAAGGTTTGGTGCTTCTCTCTCAGCAAACAGCATGCAGCAGCATGGGACAGCAAGCAACAATCAAGGTGGTATGCAATCATGATAAGAGATTATAGACCATAGGAGTTTCAACCTTAAGACCTAGAACTGAGAGCATCCTAGGATGGGATGTGCAATGCAGAGAAGTGATGTAATCTGCATTTTATTAATCTTTGAGTTTTTTCTTCATAACCAATTCAGAGCTAATAAACCTCAGCCTTGAAAGCATAGTTATGAAGTTCAAAAGTAACACTGCGTATTCTGTAAAATCCTGTGCATTTTCACTACAGCTATCAGGTTGAGCCATGTGAAACTGCCAATATTTATGTTTTTTTTTTTTTTTCATCTGTAAGGATAGCAATTTCAAACAAATATTCTGTGAATGTGGGGGATGTCTAGCCAAATATAGAAACATAACACTAATAACTTCTATTTATTTACATATTTATGTCTTTGGTTTTCACTCATGTTAATAGCCTTTAAAATATTTCTTACTTCTCACAACATGGATACATGGAGCTGTAGAAAAAAATATTAGTACTCTTGAAGATAACCATAGACAAATGAGCTTAAAGAGTTACACCTTTAAATCAAAACCGCACGAATAAAATCTCAACTGACATATAACAGAGACTCCAAAATGGGAATTGATACTTGCTTTAGTTATAGTATTACAACTCACTGAACTAGTGAAACAGACCAAACCATTATAAAGAGCTCTATGTTCTAAATTTGATTCAGTCTTAACTGTATTATGAATTGGCTATGAAATCACAGATGTAGTTTATTGGGCCTCAGTTTTCCTACTTGTGCTGCAAAGGGCTGGAGCTGGGCTCTGGCCAATCCTGCTCTGTTGCAATATACTCTGACTTGTGTTACTAATGAGGCACCATCATTGAGTGACCCTGAGAGAGAAGGAAACTCAAAGTGCACCTCAGGATGTCTCAGATTTGTATTTAGATTTAAATGGAATTTATCCCATAGAAACTAGAAAATAAATTTTCCAGAGGAAAGCAAGAGTTAGGCTAAGCAAAGCTCTAACAGTCACGTTGGCCTGAGAACAGTGGAAGCTAAGAAGGAAGGTCAGCTACAGAAAAGAATAAAAAAGAAATAGCACGAGTCTGAGATATAAAAGTCAAAAGACTGCCAAATAGGTGTCAAGCAGCTTGTGAGCTGTTTTGCTATGAGTTAACTAACGCCCCTTAGAAATACAAAGACAAGGAGTCTAGCACAAAAATGGGCTCCACTTTGTCCTCTCATTAGAATCAGTCTTCTATAAACATAATGGCCTGTATTTATACCAATATGGGCAAGTTAACGAAAATCAAATTTCTTCTTAAAAAATGGAAAGCCTACTTTTATCTGTCTGTAACAATTTGACTCACAGCAACTCAGTATAAAATCTATCTTTCCTAAAACCTATGATCATGAAGGTAATTGTGAAGGAATTTATAAAAAAGGAAAACCATGCACAAATGAAAAGCAAGCAGAGAGAAAATACACAGTGGGAAAGCAATAGAAGTAATTAAAGTGGAAATATTTTACTGCCACCTTGTAGAAAGTGTATTCCCTTTCCACAAATTTTCTTTCTAGTATAAAGAAAAATATAAAATTGATTCCTTACCAGAATAAAATATGATACTATGTTTTGGAAAGGAAATGTTGAGCTATGACAGGCATTTTCCAAGCTGATTTACTCTTTTAACTTTATTGCCAGAAAATTAGATTTCCATTTTTCTTTGTCTAGTCATTCATGGTCTTTCATGAAGATTTGCATGAAAATTAAAGAGCTGAAAAAATCAGCTGAAAAATAAAGCAACTGGAGAATTTATATAGATGCCTATCAGTCACTGGGACCCAAGTATGTATAATGTTACAAAGGAATAATTAGACCAAATGTCTATATTTTGCAAAGATTTCATTTTGTAGTTAGATTTCCATGCATAAGTTATCACAGCTGTAAGATAACAACTCAAAACCATGCGTATCATACTTTCAAATGAACAACCCGGAAAACTACAAGCTATTAATTCCCCACTATAATCTGTGGTTATGTGTGCAAAAAAGGTGCAAATATGTTCCTAAAATCTTTTGAGCTAATTTTATGGGCACAATGCATTTTCTTCTCTGATGAAATAGATCATTTTATAAAACATATATAATAAAAAAAGTTCCCTTTGGAGCAAGCCAATCAGACAACAATCATGGGGAAAACTCATTGTGTAGGGATACAGGCTATGTATTTTCAAGTATACCATGTAAACAACACAAATAGCATCTGTCCCTGATAGATGTCAATCCTACCGGATTGTGAAATCTCTAAAATAAAGACATTGTACTATCCCTTCTCTTGTATAATCTATACAGGCTATTTTAAATTGTCATATTAATTTACACAATGCTGAGAATAAATTTCCAGAGCTCTCTTCAAATTCAAAAGGAATTTTGGTTTGGAAGGCACCACTGAATTGTAAACCACGAGAAGGCATGAGCTCCATTTTTCTCATTTCTATCTTAATGCTTTCACGTAGCAGATCTTCAGCAAACACTTGTGTGATCAAGTCAACTATTATAGTCTTATCTGATAAAGGAACCGGTGTTATTACCCATTTTATATTTGGATAGACAGGCCTCACTTTCTAAGATCACACACACACACACACATACATATACACATACGTATGTACATACATACACAGAGATCTCAGTTATAGGCTACTGTAGTTTTTGTTAGTTAAGGCAATGTCATTTTAAAACTCACATTAGGATTTTCTAAAACCTTTTAATAGCTGACAATATACATACTAGCTCCTGAATACACATATGCAATAAAAACTGCACTTCAAGAAGCAATGGAAGAGGGGCCACTTATTTATCTATCAGAGTGCTTGGCAAACTATAGAAAATGGATCAAATCTGGCGCATAAGGTAACAATGAATTTTACATTTTTCAACTGGGTAATATTTAAAGAGTACTGTTCATGTCATGTAGTAAAAATATAAAATTCAAAATTCAAGACCCATAAATAAAGTTTTATGGTAACAGCCATCTCATTCATTCATGTATTATTTGTAGCTACTTTTCTGCTACAAGAGCAAAACCAAGCAGTTGCAAGAGACTATATGAACTAAACTATATAAACTAAACTATATGAACTAACTCCTAACAGTGCTCTACATAAATAATGTTTACCAATCCCTGTGCTAAATGGTCAGAACCTTCCCTATTATCTGGAGTAAACAAACAAAGAAACAAAAAGGAAACAGTAGCACAAAACAACTAGTACAGCATGACATGTCACTATACTCTGTTCCAGAGTGAACCAAAAGCAATTTGGGACATTTTATAATTCCAAGATATATGTGTCTTGGGGAAGGGACTTATCCCTTCTGGGTCTGTAAATGATGTTTCAGTTCTCTGTTTCTTTGATCCCTGTTGTATGATTTTATGAGAACTAAACTGATTTTGCACTTGAATATATTAACATATATTTCCATCTGATACCCCCCAAAGCCATATGATTGGCAATAGGAATTCTGTCTGCAACCCCAAGCTCTAATTCTCCATTGGAATATAGTCTCCAAGGAACCACCTGATTAAGCATCCTGATCAGCCTTATGTAAAACACCATATAGCTATGAAATGCAAAACTTTCATACTGAAAGTAAATGATGAAATCCCTTCCAGCCAGAAAGTGTATTAAATGCTCAAATAGCTTAAAGTCCTTTGAAGAGAGAGCATGAGTGTTTCTTATCCTCCTGCTGTTCCCCACACACTGAAGACAATGGATACTCAGCAAGTGCCTCCTGTCTATCAGAGCTGTACTCCAGACACCTCAACCACATTCATATTTATTAAAGAAAGAATAAGGAGTCCTTTTCATTATACTTATCATATTCCTGTAATAGCTAATAACATCAGAGAAAACTATTATTGATTGTTCATTTACCCTTTATTTAAAAGGTCACCTTTGCCTTAAAAAGGTAATTTTGGCTTCATTTATTTTTGCCTAAAACATTAAATGTTTGGGTTTCTCAAATGTGCATATATATATGTCATGTGGTAAAAATATGAAATTCAAAAATTCAGGACCCATAAAGTTTTAGTTAGAATATATATATTCTATCTATCTATCTATCTATGTTCATTTATCTATAGAAACTCTGTCAATACTTCTAGCACACATTCAATTAAGTGATTATTCTTAATCACTAAAAGGTAAGTGTAAAGAGAGTCCTGATTGGTCAACTTTTCATTGATTTATAAGAGTTATTCTATTCTTGTTAGTCATAAAAAATTAACATCATCAAAGATCCAAGAGTCAAGGTGGAACTTAATATATAAATTGGCTATGTGTATATGCTAATCTCTCCTGCTCTTATAAAAACGTGGTGCTAGAAGACAGTCTAGAGCAAGGATGCTCAAACATGGCCACATGGTATTACACTGTCCTTCTGCACTTGGGACATTTTCCCAAGGAACATACAGTGGGTCTCAGAATCCTTTTCCACAAACCATTCAAACAAGTCATGGTGTACTAAAAGCTCTTCACTCTCTAAAGTCTATGGTAGTGTTCCTAAAAATGGATTGTGCATTTCAGGAGATGAACAAAAAATCCATCAGGATGAAATAAGATTTTATGTTTTTAAATATACATGTTATTACTATAATCAAGCATTAGTAACTCTGTTAGTATGAGTTTCTGTTTTTAATTTCAAAACATAGACAAAACTTGTCAAAGAGAAGGTTACGATAAGGCACACAGAAAGCTCAAACTGAAAAATAAGTGCCACAACACCTCATCTGAAGCTATTATGATCTGCTACACTGCCCATCAACATTCTATTGCTGGTGTACATAAACAGTCACGCTTGCCCATGCCTCCTTGAATGACAGATGGACATACTCACTGTTTCTGAAGTAAGTGTTGGTGCTGTTGCTGCTGCTGCTGCCTGTATGTTTCAATCGTGTGCTGAGGAAGGTACTGCATCAGCTCCAGGGACTCTTTGATCTTCAACAGCATTTCATAAGTCTCTCGGCCCCTCACCTATGTAAGGGAGAAGAAGGAAAGATGGGACAATGAAGAACTGTAGAATTGTTAGAAATGCAGTCAGTTTTCCTTATGCATGGATTCTGTATTTGTAACTTCACCTGCTTATTAACATTTATGTGTGACATGAAAATCAATACTCTTGGCACTTGCACTGGTCATTCACAGACACGCATGGTGATGAAAAGCTTGCGTCACCTGTGCTTGTTCCCAGCTGGGGGTGAACAAGGAGAAGGACTGCCTTCTTGTTGCTGCTCTCATGTTGCAAACAGTGTCCTTTTCGTGGTCTGTTTAGTAGCATAAATTTCACATTTTTGTTCTTTTTGTTGGTAATTTTGCTGTATTAAATGTCCCTAATACAATGCTAAAGGGCTGTTTGATGTCCCTATGTGCAAGGCCATGCTGTGCTTTATGGAGAAAATACTTGTGTTAGATAAACTTCATTCCAGGCATCAATTATAGTGCTGGGGGCCAGGAATTCAATGTTAATGAGTCAAAGTATATATTAAATAGGATGTCTTTATACAGAAACACATGTAACACCTGGTTATGTAGTGATCTGTTGATGTGATGTTGGGACCAGAGATTCACAGGAACCTAATCTTTTATTTCCCCTAGGAGCAATGGTTAACTATTCATAAATATAGTTTTCATAACAACTTCATAAAACATAACTACCATAAGAAATAAGAATCAACTCTGGAAGAACGAAAAGTTTTCAGCAGAGACAAAATGTGCTTCCTTTTAAAAGAAGCTCTTAAAAGCTTAAAAATGTTAAGACAAAGGCCAGGAACAGGATGAGGTGAGCGGGGTCCTGAGTGTGAGTGCCTATTTCAATTGACATTGCTAGGTACTTTGCCTGCTTTAACCCAGTCCCCAACCTGAGCACACAGTGCAGAATTGACCAGAATTTGAAAATGGAAGGAGGCTCTCTCCCTTGTGCTGGGTTAAATCCCAGCCCTGGGGGCCTTTCACTGAGCAGCTTTGCCTGCCCTTCCTCTTTTGGTCTGCAACCTGATTTCTTCCTGTGCATCCATAGCTCCAGCCTCACTCCACTGAGGCATGTATCTCATTACTTTGTAAATGCCCATGTGCTCAGTGGAAGACTAGCTCTCTGAAGGCAAGAACTGTGTCCTACTGCTCTCTAATTGCCCAAGGTCTGGCCCATTTCTCCCTTAATGAATACCACGAAACACATGCTGAATTGATAGAGTTGTTACCCCCACCCACACATGCACTTAAATTTTGCTTATTTTCCCAAATTTCAACATGTAATCCATTACAGGGTACTTCCTAAATTAAAATTTCACTAACTTTTCAGAGAATTCCCATGTTATAGGCTGAAAATAGTAAGTATTTTGGGATATTTAGTATATCAGGGTAATGCTTTACCTAAAGGTCACAAATCCATTGCCATAAGTAGCTTGAGAAACAAGACACTGAGAAGCTCAGCTGATTCGATGTTTGACTGGTTGATTGGTTGACTGGTTGTCTGTTGCCCAAGGGCCAGGACCCAGGGAAGGTGTGGAGCAAGATGTGACACACCTAAACCTGTTGAGTGGCTTTAGCTTAGATCCCAGGGCGGCAGCTCGCAGAGGCTCTCTTGGCCCAGCTTGCCTGTCTCATGTCACTTAGATGGCATTTAGGATTATAGTGAGCACCAAAATTTATTGCCACTCTAGATGACAAAGACCTAAGATAGTAGAAATTCAATGAACTACAACCATAATCTAATTAAGTAAGGTTATTAGTGACCCTGAGAACTGGGCCAAGCCTCTGACTATTCACATATAATTGAAGATTCTGCCTTGCTAGACTGTTTTGTGTTTTTTTGTTTTGTTTTGTTTTTTTCTGGTACTAGTGATTAAACTCAGAGGTACCATACCACTGAGCCATATCCGTGGTTCTTTTCATTTTATTTTGAACAATCTTGCTAAATTGCCCAGGCTGGCTTTGAACTTGTGATCCTCCTGCCTGAGCTTCCCCAGTATCTGGGATTACATGTGTGCACTCACTGTACCTAGTTGCTTGGCTTTCAATATTACACTCCCCAAAAAGAAAACAAAAGTTCCCAACACCTAGAAATGATTAATGCTTGAGGAAATGGAGTGCTTATTACCCTGATTTGAACATTATGCATTGTACACAATGTATCCAATTATAATGTACCCCTTAAAGAAGTACAAATATTATGTCTCAATAAAAAATAAGGAATCACATTCAATATGTGATTTCTTAATTCTATAATTGCTATATTTCAACTTTGTGAACTTTTTCTGACAAAATTTGCATACTAAATTGTTATGTCCACACTGTCTTGTCTTATCATTCACAGATAATAAAGTACAAGTTTATTTTAAATACCTGGGATACAAAAATATTGTTAGGAGGGTATCATTGTTTGGGAGAGAAGATAAGTAGAGAAGCTCATGCTATTAAAATATTTCAACTATGAAGGAGAAGGGTAATTTCTTGAATTTAAAAAAAAATAGATAGATTCTTTTTGCTTTATTTTGATACCTCCCCCTACACATTATGGACTGAACATTTATGTCTGTCCATAAACTTCATACCCTAACCCTCAAAGTGATATTAAGATGTGGGGTCTTTGGTAGGGTATATAGATCACTTAAGTGGAACCTTCATGAAGATTAGTGCCCTCATGAAAGAGACTCTGGAGAGCTCTCTGGCCTTCTGTACACCTGTGGGCCATGAGATGAAGGCAGTTTGCAACTCAAGAGGGCCCTTTCCAGAGCCTGACAGGCTGGCACTTTGATTTTAGACTTCTGATCTCCAAAAGAGTGAGTAATAAATTTCTGTTATTCATAAGCCATCTCAGCTATGTTACCTTGTTGCAGCTCCAAACTGACTAAGATAGCTTCTATCTCACCACCATAGATAATTGGACGACTATCATTAGTAAAATCTCGGTAGGAGATTGGTAAAATAAGGCAATCATGAACATCCACAGGAGACTCACTGGTAGATATAACAGCTCATCATCTGGGGATCTTCGTTTCTTGATGGATGTCATCTGGATACCATGTGTGTTCTGACGAAAAGCTGGTGGAAGAAAAAGGCAAATTTCATCCTGGGAACATTTGTGAAGCAAATGACATACATTAAACATATTGAGTTATTAATATTAATATTCATAACATTTAATAACACATGCTGAACAAACATGTAGCTCCAGCAACACCCATGACATTGGTCCTAAGCATCCATTTAATTGGTGATGGTTACTTTTACATTAAATGAAATTTTACCAATAATGGGGTAGGGAAAGGTTGGAAGCAATAAGTGAAAGAAGGAAATTCAGGATGCTGGGTAATGTCCTTTAGCTTAAGTTATGAGGCAAGAAACCTCTGCTTTGCTCATTTGTGTGTGTCTGTAAAGAGTTATTAGGAAAAAAAAGAAGAATCACTTCTGCATTTCATATTTTAGGTCATTTATTTCCTAAAGAGGCAAATGAATGTTACATAGACTGTCTTGCTAATGGTAAAGTGAGGGAATTAATGGGTGATCAATTCCTAAGTTTCCCAAAATTAAAAGTGATACCCATCCAGGATCCAGTGGACAGAGACTATCCTTCTACCAAAAATCAGTCTATTCTTACTTGAAATCATTAATTTATAGACAGAGTACTTAGGGAAGAGTTAGGAACTATGCCATCAGGCAGGCTAAAGAGTACATTTAGAATGGAAATATTTATCTATCTATATCATATATACGATTTTTTGAGGAAAGAGCAGAAAAAGGGAGAGCTCCATAGAAAAAGCATATCATACTAAACAGAAGTTGATGGTGATGAATTTGTTTGTAAAGTATAATACAATTTTTAAATTTTTTCTGGATACTAATCAGTGATGATTAAACCCTTTTTAATAAAATAAGTCATAGTGTACTGGTATACTTTAAAATACTTGTAGTGCTATCCAGCTTATGCAAGCATACCTTCTAGAATCAAATTTTACCACAAGTGAGAAATACATGGGGGTCATTGGTTTTCAAACCCTGTCATTTTGAGTTCTAGGACTCTATGCAGTGGCTGCAGGTAGACCATGGAGCTGTCGACCATCCCTTCAGCCTGAATAGCTCTGCTTTCATTGATTCTACATTATAGGTTCCTTGAAATATTTTATTTGTTAAAAAGCTTCCAATGATTAAAAAACAAGTTTGAAAACGTGAAATTACTGAGGCCCCAAGAGGGTCATATATGTGAAGTCAAGACTCAATGTGACCGAAATCTACAGAGCCCCATACTATGCTTGGCAAAATTTGTCCACAAATATTATTGTTCTCATAGTCATGACATGGGCAGTGCTATTTTAGGCTTCATGCTTAATAGTAGGAAGATAAATTGATACCAACAGGCTAGATACTGGATCTCAAACTTTTGATATCATTAGAATCACTTGAATTGCCAGGCTGCACACCCAAAATTGTTGATAGAGCAAGTCTGAGGCCTAGAAATTTGCATTTCCTTCCAGTTTCCAGATGATGTTGCTGCTACCTGTGTGTTGGTCACCTTCTAAGGACTCTTGTACTAAGAAATCTGGGCACAGACTGTGTTTGTAAAGCCACAGTGTTAGACCTGGGATTCACCTCAGTGACTCCAATAGGTTAGGCCTTCTCTCACCGACTCTCAAGTCATATTTGCTGCTGACATGCACAGGTCTCACCCTACAGCTTCTCCAACATCACCCCAACCCTTACATCTGGAGAAGACTCAGTCCTACCCCACGGGCCACTACATCTACTTACGGCGCTTCGTACCATCGCCGTTCTTTGTGCTGTCCGAAACTTGCTGCTTCCTGATGCTGTCTTCGTCTGCCTTCCTGTCTCTTCCTGGGCAAGCACAGATCCGGGCCTCGAAGCAACGGCGGCCCAGGACCTGCCCACTAGGAATCAGAGAAGAGAAGAGGAAGGGGTTAAAGTCAGAGAATTTGAAGGCCTCCTGGAGTCCTCCCATTTCTGTCTCCACTGCACATGGGCACCCTCACCACCCGTTCCACGTGGCTGCTCTGAGGAAGGACCTGGAGCACTTGGCAGAACACGAAAGTGCTTCTATGCCACAAGCAATATTAGTAAATAACATTCCATTTGTTCTGCAAAGAACCTCCAAGCCATTAGCAGAACAGCTGTATTTAGCTACATATTTTGAAGGAAACTTGAGTTAAGCCAGTGGATGTCTTAGGATAAAATCCCCTTAGGCAGCCCAGATTTACTCAAAGAAACTGTTAAATGCCTTGGGGCCACATGAAAACAAACACTGTCTAATCAAAAACAATTCCAGTCAAATGTCAAGAATTCAGGTATAAAGCAACTTATACACCTTCCCAGCTCTTCTTTCCCTTCTACTTTTACCCACCCTCTTCTGTCTTCACCTTCTGTGATCTTTTATAGTTAGTGTTTACAGCAAGAATCTAAAGCACAAAGGACAAAATCAAGGGCAGCTCTCCACTGCGCATGCAAAGTTAATCACAAAACAGACAATTTCACTCTGTCCTCTGCCTGTGATCGTTTGTAAAATGACAGCTCTACACATGCCACTTACTCTCTGGTTTCTAGAGTAACAATGATTAAGATTGGACGGCGGTTCATCCCTCCAACACAACTGCTGTTACACATGAAATTGTATAAGACTGTCGTGAATTCAGTGCCAACCTGAGAACAGGAGAAAGAAAAAATCTGTATTAATGGTAGTTCAAACTGATGTTCTTTTTTCTCAGGTTTTCCCTTTCTTGAAAGAACTCGATTTCTAAATAAGGGAGAAGCTTCCTTCTAGGAAGGAAAACTCTGAAAATCCATTGTAAATTCCTCTAGGCTTTGCCGTCTAGAAAGCTGCAAGCTAATGTTGGCAACATTGGACAAGACATAGGTAAGATAAGCTTTAACAGCTCTTTGATCTTTAATCCCATTCATATACAAACAGAACCAAATCACCCAATTCAAATAGGCTATACTCAATACAATAATATTCCCGAAAGGGAAGAGCTAAAAAGAAAATCACTACAAACAGCAGCACTGCTCCAAGGATATTTTTCTTATGTAGACAAAACAGTATGACACAGATTTGATTATACAGTCCCATAACTAAAAACCCTGGAGCTTCAAAGGTCCTCCAAATTAAATAAAATAGTCTGAAGTGTCTAAAGTGCTCATTCACGGTTAAGGCAACTGAAGCCCAGAATAGAGAATCATATGCCAAAGATCCTCACAGCAAACCAAAGAACTTTGGTCTAGTTCCTCCTGTTGCTTTCCACTCCACTACTCTGCTCTACACAACAGATTTATAAACTTGCCCTTCTGGTGAGTTGAATTTCAGCTAAGAGATTCCTTTTAGGGACTCCCATTTATATACTAGTGTAAGAATACTTACATTCATTACTGGGGCATGTCCACTACCAATTGCCAGTTGGATAAAACAATATCATTTGTAAACCCATTTTCCAGTTCAATCGTTATCTGGATGGGAACATGAATGGGAACATGGGTATGGAGCCATGTTCCCAAATTAATTCAGTACGTATTTAGGAGTTATGAAGGGGAGGAACATGGAAAAGAGAGACAGAAGGAATACAAAAAGTTGCATATTTGATGATAAGGACTAAGAAAATAATTAGTGCCAGAAATACTCTGTCATCAAAACTAACACTTCAGAACTACCTCAGTCAGTTGGTTAATCATTTTTTCTTTTCTTTTTTACCTGGGGTGGTTCATAAGGTACCAGCACACTCTGTCTTCCTGTGATGGGGTCTTCTACATATTGGGCATGGCTGTTCCCTTCCACTCGAATCAAATGACTAGGAGGGGCAATCTGTCCTGCAGAACAACAAAAGACAAAACAGTTAGTTTGCTTACTCTCACAAGAAAGAAGACAAAACAAAACCACATAGATAGCATTCTGGTGGCCAAAAGAAAAAGGAAAAATATATGCTTGAAAAAGGAACGATCCTGTTGCTAGATATCTAACACAGGTGGATATCTCAATCTTGATGGCAGAAGGAAGGGCTGTAATGCTCTTCTCTAACTGAGGGAACAGTCCTTGCTTTGAAGTTTAAGGTTAACTATTCAAACTGTTATGAAATTGTATGACCACATCAATTACCTCATCCATGGAGGGTATTTTGCCATATTCCATAGAAAATGGAAGAAAACCAAGCAATGCTATCCCAAAGTCTGAATAGCAAAGATACTAAGTAAGAGGACTGGAGATATAGTTCAATGGTAGAGCGTCTACTTGGTATATGCAATGCCCAGAGTTCAATCTCCAGCATGGACAAGAAATCAAACAAAAAATCTAAATAAGAAGCAGAAGATTGGAAGGACACGCTTGACCTTCACTTTGCTTATTTCTTTCTCCTTTTCCATCTTAGGCCTTGCTTTGGTTAAAAAGATAAGAAACTTGCTGGAAAGACTGTGTTGAAAGAGTCCCAGGTTGGAGACAAGAAAAGGCAAGCAAGTTTTAAAAGGAGCCTAGGCAAAGTCTTACAAAATTGTAATAGTTGGCAAGTCTCCAAAAGAAAGAAACTGCTCCAAGAATTAGCAGCTATAAAGCTGTTCTTAACTTCTGCCTCTGTAGTTCTGTTCTATGAAAACTACTGAATAAAAGTAAAAAGCTAGGTCAAGAAGTGCTCTTCAGCATCATTTATCTTGATCCAAACAAAACAACTATTATGTGAAAAAATTGAGAAAATATTTTTTAAATCGTCATTTTGATGGAACACAAGCATTTTAGGTAAACTGATAATGAAGCCTATCTACATGGAATGTTCTTTATGCAAATTGTTAAGCGAAAGGCAAGATGTGAAGGCATGGCTAAGGCAGCCATGTGGGCAAGAACTAAGAACTAATGTGTGAAGAAGAGTTGTGTGAAAGAGAATTTTGGGTTTATTTTCTTCTTTTAAATTTATCCATTCTCTTTCTTCCTTTAGCAATTTTACTCTATTACCTGCTCTATATTGACGTATTCTAACTACCTACCAATATTGGTTTCTAATATTTTTACATGAAGTATCCCAACTCCCAACCCTTTCTGCACCATCACTAGGCTTTGATGATTCATTATGTTTTCTCCCATTTTATTTTCTACTTCTCCAATAAGTTTCCCACAAGTCAGATCCAAGGGAACCCTTAGAGGTTCTACAAAGCTGTGGTGCTCAGAAGATGGGGGTGGTGCATACATAGACATAGAGCTTAAGTGAAGTCCTCCAGAAACTTGTCCTTGACTCCTGGTCCTCCATCTGACTACCCCATCTTAGGTTCTAAATCTTCCGTTTCCTCTCCTTACTCCTCTTACCCATTATTTTCCTTCTCATTTCTTTTTCTTCCCCATTTTCTCTTTAATTTTGTTCATTATTTCTCCCCATCCCCCTGCCCCCTCTTGCCCTTCCAGCTCTCCACTCATCTAGACTTGAAAGTCACTCTGGGAAAAGCACAAACATTAAAGAACACTATAGCCTGGGCCGAGCAGAATAACTATCACACTGTTCTGCTTACACCCTCTCATAAAACAAAAACAGCAAGAAAAACAAAGCAGAACAAAATAAAACAAAAGGAAGGAAGCAGTAAGGAGCAGAGAGACCAGTCTAGGTAATTCAGTAACCACTAATATTAAATTAAATAGTTTAAACACTGTAAAAGCCACTTTTTTTTTTTTTTTTTTTTTTTTGTTACCAGGGATTGAACTCAGGGCACTGGGCCACTGAACCACATCCCCAGCCCTACTTTGTATTTTGTTTAGAGAAAGTGTCTGAGATGCTTAGTGCCTCGCTTTTGCTGAGATTGGCTTTGAACTCTTGATTCTCCCTGCCTCAGCCACCCAAGCTGCTGGGATTTCAGGTGTGCACCACCACACCTGGCAAGACCACAAATTTATTTGTCATTATACTCAGATACTCAGTCAAAAAGGAGGCTGAGCTGACATTGGATTGCAGAAGCCTGAACCAGGTAGACAGGAACCAAATTAAAGGCTCCCAGGATTTTTACCTTCAAGGAGCTCATTTAAAGAGACACAGATTCTAATCACCCTTACCCTCATTGAATTCACGGCTCAGCTCATGGTTGGGGCAACGCTTCACCACTTCAGTGACGTGTTCAGCTTTCTTGTAGACAGGCATGGCACGGATGACAGCTCCCTGAGGAGGTGGGGTCATCACCTTGATCTGGATGGGGCATGTCTTTGCTATTTGGCAGTACAGTTTCTTCAGCTCGGTGGAATACTGCTTGGAGACGGGGCCAGAGGTGCAGGGAAGGAGAGAGCCAACAGGAGATATTGTTACATTCCAAATCACAACAGTCAAAGCATGCCCACTTTTTATAGGCTTTATAGCTGCATGATATTACTGTTACAATATACATGATATTTGGCAATCTTATTAGAGGAAGTTATATTCATTAACCAAATCAAAACTTTTTTTCTCTGTAAACAAAATATTATGTTGCTAAAGGTAGCACGTTTGTGCCATTATTTCCTACTATACTGTCTTTAGAATGAAGAATTTAGGTTCAGAGGAGTTAAAAAAAATTATGCCATGAGCAACTTCACTGCTCACCAAAAAATGAACAGAAATATAATACTTTCATATGCAGAGTGATACTGACCAACAAAACTATAAAGATAGCTTTGTGCTTAATAAATTATAATTAATTCTGCCCTTATAACTCTAGAGATATTCACAGGAATTGGTGTTTGTAGAATGCTTTTTGAAGACAGGATATCTGGCAGAGAATGAAGGTAATTTATCTGATGTCAAGCAGCTAGAATACTGTTAAGCATGAGCACCCGCAAACTATTGCACTGATCTTCTGATGTCATAAGCAAAAGAGAATGCAAGAGCTGGGAGAAGGCTTTTGTTTCTATACTCCTCAAAATGACAGGCATCATGTAACACAGCTGATCACAGCAATGAAAGGAGCCAGATGTAGCTCTTTTCCCTCATAATGACTGACGTTTCCTCCCCACTCTTCCTTCTTCAAGGAAAGGAAGTTCAGTGGAGGTTAGTTAGTTGGAAAACTGAAAAAAACAACAACAACAAAAAAGAGTGAAGAAAGCATGAGACCTAGAACAAGGACAGCATGAGTCCCATCCTGCGTCCTGCATTGCTACCCTTTCTCCTCTCTGAGCCAGAACAGAAAGCCTTCATGCTAATCTTTCACTGTACTAAACCTTGCTCTCTGGGTCTTCATTCTGACTCACTCAGATGCTGGGATGAAACCACCCAGGCACTGGAAATCCTGGCCCAAAGTGGGACACCTAGTAACATGTAACCAAACAAAGGGTAAACACACTTACAAGCTGCTGTCATCAGTCGGCAGCAACATCCTTCCAGGGGAGGGACACAGGGGAGCAGCAGCCAGAGTGGCAAAAAGATTCGTTATTGATAGTCTCACCCCAACTCACCCTAACTCAACCTATAGGCAAACAGCCTAGCAAAGAGCACAGTTTAAATGATCAATTTATCTCTTCCTTTTGAAATATAATGTTTATTTAAACAATATTTCTTTTTCTCTCAACCATTTCAGGCATATGAATTTTTCAGTTAAAGACTTCCTAGTGCTAGAAGAGTATTGTGAAATCAGTCCCCCATGCCCACAGGCTAAGGATTTAAATGCAGCAAAAGGGTTTTACATAGCTGGGAGATACAGGAAACATTCAAAAAAAAAAAAAAAAATCAACCACAGAAATAAAATTCTACTTGGGAAACACTGAATAAAATGTAGATATATGCGTTTTGCCCTTGTGTTTTCAAATCATTACAAAGGCATTGTTTTCAGACATATTAAGAGTTCACTTTTATGGAGAAGTCTAAGGCAGTAAGTGCATCCATCAGCATTTCAGTTAGGAGATAAAGGATACATAATTCTGAGTTTTTATCAAATGAACCTAACAAAAAATGACTGAAAAATCAGTCTGACAGCTATCACCTAAAGGCAAATAAGGCATTCTTTCAAGTATGTAAAGATTGCAAAAAAAGAGTAATGTTCAGAGTAGGACAGTTTCTTAGGAGAAACATTCCATAGCAATAATTAATATACTATAAATCAAATTTGACAGTCTAAAGTACAGAAGTACCAAGAATAAGGTTAGGCATCATCAAAAACAAATCCTTGCTCATTCTCAGGGTAATGGTAATCTAAGTTAGGTAATCTAGGTTATAAGTTAACTACCAATAATAGATTCATTAATTATTGAGTTCTGTTATTGGAAATTCAATCCTCACAACTGCACTACGAGGAACATATTACAGGTATACAATGACTTAGCTGAAACCCTTGGGGCCAGAAGTTTCAGAATTCAGAATTGCTTAGCAGTTAGAAGGGGAGTAAAGTTCATATATCAAATATGATAAATACCTCCATCAGCAATTAAAGCAGTACTTCATCATACCCAACATTAACATTCCTGTAGGATTCATAAATATTCACTTGGAGAGGGAAACCATGATAAAGCCTCACAGTTCAGGCTAGATTTCACTACCAAATCACAATGCCACAAAGTCAGAAAATTAAAACAAAACAATTTTGAGTTTTCAAAGCTCTTTGAATTTCAGAATTGCAGATAACAGATAATGAACCTGTATTATTATCTCCATTCTATAGATAAGAAAATCAAGGCATAGAGAAGACATGCCTGAGGTCACAAAGAAGATCTACTCTGTCCTTGTCATGTAACAACAGTAGGTTACCTCTCTATTCTTTCAGCTCAGCAGTGCAAATTTTTGTACTTGTACATTTTCTCTAATTTACAACATTGTGGCTCTTCGAAAACTGAACTTCAAACATATACGATCTTCTCTAATGTTAAAATGGAGCTTAAAAGTATTCCACTGAACATCAATAATTTTGCTCTCTTTCTCAGTAAAATGTTTGCTTGTTTAATTTCAGGAAGAGGAAGCAAGTAACACAATTGAAAAAAACCTGGGCCGGGTGGAAGTCTACCTGGGCTCTAGTGACTTCTAGTATGACTCTGGGGAATTTGAGAGTAAGAGCCTCCTTTTAGCAAGGTTTAGTAAGAACTTTATAAGGTATCCCCATCCCTTCAAACCCCTTCTCCTCTACTTTCCATCGCTTGTACTACCTCTACAAATTTTTATCACAAGCTTTTTAAACATATCATACGTTTGCCACCCACAATTCAAGTGTGCCACCCTGTAGAATATTCCTGTTTTCCCTCGGTTCTCTATCCATGTCAGGGCAATTTACATATTAAACCCAGTGAGGAATGCATCTCATGCTGCAGGCCGTATTTTCCAATGTTAGTGATGAGGGTTTCATATTTGAAAAAATCAAAATACCTGACCAGGGCCAAGATGCCTTAAGTGTGCTGCTATTTATTAAACTAGAGGGAGTGAAGTGATCTGCCAGGATCTGTTCTTTACAAAATCGAGTCTCTGCCCCTCAATTTGCTTTTTGTGGCAAGGTGGTTTTGTGATGACATTTTACATTTTTTCCAGTATGAAATTCAGTCTCCTTGACCTATGCTATATTAATAACTCCTTAGACTTGGGTCATATCATTTATTCCTTAACAAAAGCCCTTTATATATTTTCTAATTTTCTAGGCTTCCTTGAGATTACAAAAACTGGAAATTGATTTACATCAAAATTTTTAAATGCTTTGTTGATTCAAGTTGACAAAAAACTGTGAATTGGAGCACCTATGAATTCTTGGAATATCTGTCTTTCTCTCTGGGATTTCCAAACTCATCTCAAAATTGCTTCCTAAGATTGACCTAAGATCCTTTATTTCTAAAGCCTCATTTGCTTTCTTGCATGGGGATTTTGTTTTAATCAACTTTACTGATGTATAAATTTCCTGTAAAACCACCAATTTTTAACTATATAAGTTGATGACTTTGGACAAAAGTGCACAATTGTAGAATAACCACCACAATCAAGATACACAATGCTTCCACTCCCTCTCAAATTATCCTTTCCTCTTTGCTGGTAATCCTTCTTCAACCCCTGTGCCTGCTTTCTCAAACCATACTTTTACTTTTTCTAAAATATTCTATAATTGGAATAATACAGTATATAATCTTATGTGATGATACTTTTGAGATTTGTCCATGGTTTTGTATATATCATCATTCTATTTTATCTGAGCAGAAATCTGTTAGTTAGCAATTTACAAATTATTTTTAGTTTTCTCTATTATGAATAAAACTATTATGAACAGGCATGCACAAATCTTTATAAAGACATGTATTTTCATTTTTCTTGAATAAGTACCTAGATGTATGATTTTTGGGTAAGTGTATACTTAACTTTATGAGAAATTTCTGAAATGTTTTAATGTTTGACAAAGAGGGTATGCCATTCTACATTGCTGGGTTTCAAAGTCTTGCCAACATATGGTTGTGTGTGTGTGTGTGTGTGTGTGTTTTAATTCAAACCATTTTAATATGTATATAGCAGATTTCATTTTGGCTTAAATTAACATTTCCATGATGATTATTATGTTGAGCATCTCTTCATGTACTTATTTCATTTATAATTACATAAAATAAACATACATTTATATTCATTTTATGTAAGTTTAGATATTCATTTTATATTAAATATTTCATACCTTTTAGTTCTTTTTTTTTTTTTTTTTTTTGAGGGCAGGGAGGGTGGAGGTACCAGGGATTGAACTCAAGGGCACTCCACCACTCAGCCACATCCCCAGCCCTACTTTGTATTTTATTTAGAGACAGGTCTCACTGAGTTGCTTAGTGTCTCACTTTTGCTGAGGTTGGTTTTCAATTTGTGATCCTCCTGCCTCAGCCTCCTGAGATGCTGGGATTACAGGCATGTGCCATTGTACCCAGCTTAAAAATAGAACTCTTTTTAAATTGAATTTCTAGTTGTTCATTTCTAGTATATAGAAGCATGGCTGCTTTTTATATATGTAGCATGTATTCTGTTACTTTGACAAGTGTATTTATTTGTTCTAGTGGCTTCATGTAGATAGATGCCTTATGATTTTCTATACATCAACTGCAAATAGAGTTTTACTTCTTTCAAATCTATGTGCCTTTTAATTTTAATTCTTACCTCACTGCAAGAATTGATCAAGGGTTCAATCTGCTATAGTTTCTTTTTTCAAATTAGAATCTTAGATCATTGATTTCAGCTGGTCTTGTTTTTTTAATATAAACATTTGATTCTACAAAGTTCCTTCTAAGCACACTTTAGCTATATCCATAAAATTTTGATAGATCTAAATTTAAATATTG